TTCTTAACTTCCATTTTTACTTTCATCAAGAGCAAGGGCTCCTGTATTTTTTGGTTGTAGTATTGTAGCCTCATTTATTCTCTCTATTTTATTTCTCTCAATTCTCTTTTCTGATAGAGATTCTTCTACTTTTCTCATTTTTCCCACATAAATCTCTTATGGAACAGCTAAGATATCCCCCATTTTTTGTCTTTCTTCTTTCATTCCTATTCCCTTTTCCCTCTCTCTCCTTAATTTGATACAACTGTATTTTTAATTATCTTTATCTATTTTTATTTTACTACCGAGAGCTGGAGTGGCACATATTTGGTCTGGCAGGGAAGTCATGGCAATAGTCTGGCTCAAGGAAGTCAAGAGATCATGGTTTATGGAGCCCTTCTAAATTTGGCCCTGTGAAGAAAGTATTGGCAAGTCCATACTGAAGAATTTTTCTATTTCTTTTTCATTCTTATCTAATTTTTCCCTCATGTTTTTTGTTTTCGCTGTTTTCTTTCTTTTCCTATTTTTTGCAGAGGAAGAGTTGGCTTTGCTCAGGCTGGTAAGAAGCTCCTGATTTCAAGGAACATACCCAGCCTGGCCACTCAAAATTCTTTTGTTACAAGTGTGGCATTAGTACCATGCCAATCAATACCATTTCTTCTATTACTCTCATTCTCTCTTCCTGTCCTCCTTCTCTCCTTTTCTTTAATTATTTTCTTTCATCCCCCTTCCTTTTTGTCTTTTTATTTTATTTTTCTCTTTCTTTCTTTTCCTCTTGTTTCTCTCTACTCAATCTTTACCCTTCTCTTCCTTTTGGTCTTATACCAAGAGGCCACTTTTACACCTAAGCTTTGAGACAAGGTAATTTGAAGCAAAGGAGGAAGTAAGAAGGAAAATGTAGGACAAGGAGGTGAACAAAAAGAAAGCACACAAGGAGGAACCAACAGAAAAATTCAGGTAACTGTAAAACCAAAACAGAGCAACTCCTCCAAGGGACAATGAGGCAACTATTACAGAAGACTCTACCTATAAATAATGAATGTATTTGACAGAAAGGGAATTTAAAATATGGATGATAAAGACAGGAAAGGGAATGGATGAGAAAATGGAAAGACAGAACCAAAAGACAGACAAGAAATATGTAGAACATAGAAAGGATATGGTGGAGCTTAAGGAAATGAAGGAGACAATCAGGGAATGTAAAGATGCAGTAGAAAGTACCAAAAATAGATTAGACCATATAGAAAAAAGAACCTCAGAGCTAAAGGATAAAGTTTTTGAGTTAATCCAGGTAATCAAAGAAGCAGAAAAGAAGAGAGAGCAAGTAGAATAGTTGCTCAAAGAACTACAAGACTTCACAAAGTGTTCAAACATATGAATAATAGGGATCCCTGTAGGGGAAGAAGATTGTCCCAAAAGAATGGAAGCCCTACTGGAGACTATCATAAATGAAGATTTCCCAGGTTCTATAAAGATCCCAACACGTTCCTTTTAGATGGATATCAAAACCCAGGTTATCTCAACCAAGAGCTTCTCCAAGACATTTTGTAATAAACCTGTCCAAAGTCAAGACAAAAAAAAATTCTGTAAGCAGCCAGGAGTAAGCACCACCGGGGCTACAGGGACAGAGCCATTAGGATGACAGCGGACTTTTCAACTGAAACCTTCCAAACCAGAAGAGCATGGTCATCCACTTTCAACATTCATAAACAAAATAATTTTCAGCCCCAAATTCTGTATCTAGCTAAACTAAGCTTTAAAATTTATGGAGAATCAAATATTTTATACAAACACTAAGGAAATTCACCACCACAAGACCAGCTCTATAGGAAATACTTAAACCTCTTCTCAACTTTGACCACTACAATGGACCACCAGCAAAGTAAACACCCACAAGCCAAAGGTCAAAACGTAGCTTCCACAATGGTGCAAAGGATAAAATTACACAATGGACTTTTACCAAATAAGATGAATAGAGTTCCACCACACTAATCAATTCTCTCAATAAATGCCAATGGATTTAATTCCCCACTTAAGAGGCAGAGATTGGCTGATTGGATAAAAATAAACAAGCCATCCATATTCTGTCTCCAGGAAATGCACCTAGTCTTGAAGGACAAATCAAGACTCAGGGTA